AATTAGGTTACCATTAGAATAGCTCTAAAGGTGGTTTGATTGAGAGTTAATTTTTTTTTTTTTTTTTAGGAATAATATGCATACAAAAATCAAACCACAATAGCAGATATATAAGTGATCATTGATATCAAACCTGGTACTTATACATTGTGACTTGGCTAGTGAATGAGGATTGAGGACCACGATCCTATTTGCTATCAATTAAGAAAAATATTAGGATATTAATGCATGCAGTATGAACTAATAATTAGCAATGTCCAAAATAACGTATGGCCGTAGACAAAATAAACAATAATATTGTGTTTTATAGGTAATGTCCTATTAGCATTTGGGTTAATGCCTTATATACAAACAGAAATGAAAACTACATCTTCTTTTTTTCGGATCAAACAAGTATTCCAAAACAAAAATCATTGTGTTCTCCGATTTGCCTTACAAACCCATATTTCGAAAAGTTGATAATTTTTTTTTATTTTCGCATACATATAATGACAGATTTGGCATCCCTTGTTTGCGATTATCCAATTAACATATATTGTTTTAGGATTAAAAACAAGCCTAGATTCACACATGAATCCAAATTTCGAATGAACTCAAACTTCACATATAATTGTATATCAATTTTCATTGATGTGCAAGTGTATTTACGGGACAAAGATTACCATAATGGTGGTTAATTTCATCCATGAATGAAAAACATTGAAGAACATTAAAAAAAACAATGATGAACAATATTTTGATTTAGATTTCCTTAATTTAATCTTTATTCTTGATTTTATTAAAAACTAATTCTAATAACTATTATGAAAATAAATAAAAATTATCCAAAATCAGAAAATAATTTCGAAAATAAAAAATTGATTAAAAAAGAAGTTTGACCGAGTATAAAAGTTAATCAAAAATCGACCAATAAGAATTAAGAAAAGAAATAGTCATTTTAAGGATGACCACTGTAGAATTTTCAAGTGATACGATATGATATTAGATTTTGAGAGTGAAGGAGTGGTAAATTTGTGAAGAAAGAATGTATGTAAATTTTAATTTAGTTATAGACTTGTTCATTAAGTATGCAAGGTCTACTGTATGTATGAATTAAGGGTATCTAAAGTATGTATGGGTTATAATTTCTTAAGCTAAAATTTTCATATTCAATTTTACAACTTATGAATATTAAGTGGTTTTTGTGTAAACATAATCAAGATGGTAGATAATTTTGAAAGTAAAAGTTACACGCCATGAACACAAATGGAGGGAGTATTTAGTTTTCCATCACAATCTCAACAGGTGTTGTTCAAGATTAATCGAATGAAAGTAAAGTAAGTATTGAGATGTGTATCCCGCATTGAAGAAAAGGAAAAATTGTGTCCACTTAAAGCTAAAGGGCTACTCTTTTCATAGCCACGTGATTTTGAGTTGAAACCTTCTTGGATTATAAAGTGGACATTCATAGCGGATGCGACCTAACCCCGTTTTTCAATACCATGTTGCAAGTGTATATTGAGATATAGAATAGCAATAGTTCAAATCCAAAAAATATGTTCATTTAAAAAAAAAAATTAAAAAAAAACACAATGAAAAGAACATCATTTTCCACCTCATCAAAAAAATGCAAATTCAGATGAATTTTAGTACAAAAACCCAAATAAATTATGAAATCGATAATGAATTGAAACTTATCAACCCTTTGTAAATCATAAATAGTTTTGTATCAATCACTAAATTTGATGATGATCATTTATCCCTTTAATTGGAGATAGTTCTTCCTGCATGAAGAATTTCAATGACCTTAACACTTGATGGAGTTGCGCCTTTAAATTCAGGAACTTCACTGACAGCCTTGTTCCAAGACGCCAAGAACGGGTACCTTTCTGCAGTGATATGCTTAAAGCCATAGAACTCTTCGACAACGTCGAAGGTTCCTAAGAAGGAATACAAGACTATGGCCAAGTATCCGGGCTTCGCATCTTGGAAAGATGGACAGCCATTTGGGAATAACTCGGCTTTGATGAATTCTTCGGCCACATCCATCTTCTTCCAGTACTCGTTCATCTCATCCTCTGTTGGTTTACCTCCTATTGTCAGTGGTTTGCTTAATATATCCATTACCTGCTCATAGCATACAATTTTTTTAGTGTCCATTTTCTAATTTACTACCTTTGTTCCATATAATAATTAACACATCAAACTTGACACACTTGCTAATGAACTACGGAAGATTAAGAGAGTTAGAGAGAAATAAATTAAGTGATCCAACTTCCATCATCAACAAATATGACACAAACTAACCCATTTAACTATTAATGAAATGTATCATATAACCTTTTCATTTAATATTAGAAAACCAACTGTGTAATCCATCCACAACAAGAGTACCAATTAAAATACATGTTATTTTCCAATAGTACAATATTCCCTCTGTTTTTTTTTTTTTTTTTATAAGTGCCCCATAGTGACATGTCCCGCACGTTGATGTAAAATTTCGAGCAATAATATCTTTAATTATCATTAACTATAAAGTATAACAATTGAATATTAATAATCTACTCATTAAGACGATTATATTTTTTCTTATGTATAGTTCATAAACATTGGTCAAAGTATGTTTAATGAATAGTGTCAAAATCCCAAATGGGACATTTAAAAAAAAACAGAGAGAGTACTTGTTATTGCTATAGTCTTTTTACTCTCTCCATCTCATAACAAAGTTAAAATTCAAATATATATGTAAGTTCAATGAAAAGTCGGGAACATTAACCATCAAGGCATCAAGTACTACTGTGAACACAATATTAGGTTACAAAAGATCAAAGAGTAAGGGGCTAACCTGTTGTAAGTACGCGGCCCAAAATCGATGTTTGGCCCTAAGGTAGGGATCCTTAGGGAGGAGATGCGGGGGATCAGGCCAAGTCTCATCAATATAGTGATATACTCGAGGATGATCATTGTTTCCGCAATGGGTAGACCATTGTGTACAAGAACAGGCACTTTCTTATGCACAGGGTTGTATTGCAACACCAACTCACTTTTGTTTGCTAAATCCTTTTCTATGTATTCAAAATCTATGCCCTTAATATTAAGGGCAAGTTTGGCTCTTAAAACATAAGGACTTGCCCACATTCCATGTAGCTTTACCGAACTCTCTCTTCCTCCATTACGAGTATTTTGTGTGAATGTGTGTCTTTCTTCTTCTTTCTCTCCTTATTCCAAATTATATTCTAGGGGATGTGTTATATACTACCTCCGCTTCACATTACTCGTTACAAAGTAGTGTTTTGCAGACTCCTAGGCAAAACATTTTAAGCATGATTATTGGAAAATAAGGGCATATACTTAAGTATTAATCCAACCCAAAAAAAAAAAAAAAAAAAAAAAAAAAAAAATCAAATTTAAACTAAATAACCCACCACCACTAGCACCACCCAGCAGCACCAAAACCACCACCCACCACCACTAGCACCACCCAGCAGCACCAAAACCACCACCCACCACCACCCAGCAGCACCAAAACCAACCAGCACCACCACTCAGCCGCAGCACCGAACCGAACCCACCGCACTCACAAGCTGCAGTAACCCACCAAACCCACGAGTCGCAACAGCCCACCAAACCCAGCGAACCCACTGACCCCAGCTAACCCACATATCTGGAATAAACCACCCACAAGCCACCAACCACGAACCCACAAGCCAACCACCCACGAACCACCCACAAACCCACCGATCTGAACCCACAAACCAACCACTGCACGAACCCACTAACCCTTCTTTATCATCAATTAAAGCTTTAATTGGTCAAATTTAACCATTAAAACTCTAGATCTAGAGTTTTCACGGTTAAATTTGATCGTAAAACCTTCAAATTGGGCTTCAGCGGCAATGAGGAAACAACAAGAAAAGGAAGAGGCCTTGGGGTTTAATGTAATGAAATCAGATTTGTAGTTTAATTAGGATGCTTAAAAAAAGTAAGGGTATTTTTGTCATTTCGCACAAAAAAACTTACTAAAAAAGGAAAGAAATCAATTTGTTGCGAGTAATGTGAAGCAACCATTTTTTAGTAAATATTGCGAGTAATGCGAAGCGGAGGTAGTATAAAGGTTTTTGTAACTTTCATATTTGACAATTCTTAAGGAAAGAAATGCCAATTGGTTAAAATCTTCTTTCAATTCAAAGTATTAGCAATTCTAGTGGATGTGTTGTAAAGGTTTTATGAAACTTCATTTTTGACAATTCTTAAGAAAAAAGAAATTTTAATTGGTTGAAATCTTATCCCAATTCAATTCAAAATATTATTGATTTATGTGTAACAAATTAAGATCACATACATTGTTATGTACTTTTATTATATTATATATACTTGAACTGCTTTCTCCTAATATTCTAAGAACAAAATATATTTTAGTAGGTTTTTTTTGGAAATCACCAACTATTCTTCTTGTTTTAGTAATAAGGACTAATAAGTAATAACCACCAACAATTATTATTTTTTGAATTTTAACATAATCCATGTAGCAAAACATAAGGACTTGCCATAATCCATGTAGCTTTACTGAACTCTCTTCCTCCATTACAACTATGGCTCGAATGTCGTCTTTCTTCCTCTTTCTCACCCAGCTCAATCTCTAGTGGATGTGTTATAAAGGTTTTAGGCACCCTGGCCTTGAATCCTTTGATCCTTGTCCATTCTGATATGGGTCTATAACGTTATGAATCGAACAAATTGCTTAGATGTGGATGAAGCTGAAGAGGGAATGAATCCTAACAAGTGAGTCTGACTTTTCAAGATACAAAACCAAAATTCATGGATATAGGATGGTCACATGCCGACACAGCTCAATCTTATATGATATCAATCTTATATGATGAGTCTGGCTAATTGCAACACCTCTTCATTAAGGTAGTACTTAGGAGCTGTAGCCTTGAGCCAATTATCGTAAACAAACATCATAGAACACCAAAAGCTACCATTGCCATGGTATAAATGATGCAAAAATGCAAACCAAGAAAAACACTGATACCATGGCGGAGTATATGCTTTAATAATTAATATGATCTTTCGAGAAACTGGGCGTGAAAAGTAAAACAAAAATGCTCATTCAAAAAGCAAACAATCACCTCAATGTAGTAATAGGCACAAGTACGGACCGTAAACAGGGTTCTTCCTAAGTCATCATCATCTTCTCTTAAAAACAAAATTTCTTCTGGAGAAACTAAGACAAAAAAAAATTCACAGCCACTCTAGCTCTTGGCAGCCTTTTCTTTAGTCTTCTGAATCTTCAAAACCTTCTTCACGATCTTCTGCTCTTCAATTAAGAAAGCTCGGATGATTCTGTAGGGACAACGAGCAAAAGAAGGAATTTGCATTAAAACTAGAAGGTATGAAACAATGGGATGAACTAGATTGTGTATATGATTAGCACAGCGTATGAGAACAAAGTCAACAAACCTTTCACGGACAGCGCTGCCAGATAGAACACCTCCATAAGGACGGTTGACAGTACGCCTGTTCCTAGGCAATCGGCTTCTCTTGTACTCAGTAGGCCTCAGATGAGGAATCTGCAAAACAATAACAAAGGAACCAATAAAAATATATCCTGAGATTGAATCTAATACAAGGATATATGCCAAGTACTTTAGCAGATGAAATCAGTGAAACACAGCCATTGTCAAATGAAATCCAGTGCATACAAGATATGGAAGTACATCAATAATTACATATAACTTAGAAATTTATCATGTTCACTCTGAAGATGCAATGAAAGCAGCTTAATTAGGATCCTTTTATCTTGAAAACCGTTTAAAGTAGAACATAAACAAAGGAATAATGACTATATTACATTTGTTTATACACATTGCAGTGACAAGCCTGAGTTATGAGTAGCAACACATAGTTAAAAATTCTCCATAGATGTAACATAATCCCCAAAAGAACCGCAAGGTGCAACATTTTATACTGACTTGACTGGGGCTAGCTGGATACTTCTAACTCAAAATAAATAAATAAAAAATAATTTCTAAACCAAAAAGAGAACAGGTTTGGGAATCCCACATTTTAGTCCAAACAAACCCATAAACACGGAGAATTTCATAATCAAACTGTATCCAAAAAAAATGCAATTAGACCAGAACCAATATCTACCCATAATCCCAAGTTAAACATTTTAATCAATATCACAATGCTAGAATAATAAGTCAAAATCATCAAGTGGTAGTAACTGCAGCAAATCAAGCAACACGTCTCGTTTAATACTACCTAAGTCCTCAGTACCAATATGGATATGATGTCTTTAATTTAGGGTCATTGACTCATTGCAGTGAAATGCACAACATTATGGACTATAACCACTTCACCTTAATTTTGTGAACACTAATTGTATATGCCACTTTTTAATACTTCCAAATAAATCCTTAGCTATATAAACTTTCACTATTTCACCTTATGTATATTACAATTATTAGAACTCCTATTAGGGGGTTCGACATAGGTAATATGCTATAGTAGCAAACTAAGACTAAAAATGTACTCAATTCTACCAACACAGAATCCCAGATTAACACCAGCAACAAACACCCCACATGGAACAAATATTAGCACAGCTTCCTACAATGAACTTCTATCAGCAACACAACTATGAGCAATAATCTCATAGAAAGAAATGCCTTCCATCCTTTTACAATCACCCATTACATTGTAATCAAATAATCAATTCATTGCTCAACATAATAAGCTACTCAGTTGATTAAAGTTGCAATGATATTCTTTCGATTATTACCAGAATTCAAACAAAAACAACACCATATTCCACTAATATCAACCAAAAACACGATCATACTCCATCATTACTATTTTCGCCGTCACACTACTAGTTCAAATTACACTATCAACACGACTAATAATGCTGAACGTAGAAAGAAAATAAACAGATGATCAACAATCGGCATTTCCAAGATGAATCAGAAAAACAAAGAAAAAGAGACATACTCCTTGAATTCTCTTTCCAGTAACAGGGCACTTTGGACCACTAGCTCTCTTCTTTGTAGTCTGGTAAACCAACTTTCCACCTATTAATCAAAACCTCAATAATCAAAAAATCAATCCAAACAAAAACTAACAAATCAATAACAATTCCGCATTACCCCACAATTATAATCAAAACCCAGTAATCAAAAAATCAATCGAATCAAAAAGATTACAACTTTACTTCAACATCATGCAACATTACAATCAAAACCCAAAAATGAAGACAAGAATCCCATGAAATAAAGTGTGAAAAGGGGTGAATTGAAAAGAGAGGAGAGAGAAAGAGGGAATACCGGGGGTTTTGACGATGCGATGTTGGTTGGATTTGGTGGCATAGCTATGGCGTTTACGGTAAGTGAGACGCTGCGCCATTGTTGAGTTGTTAAGTTTCTCTCTCCTCCTCTTCTGCGTCTCAGTCTCTCTTTCTTACTCCAACGGCAGCAGAGGTTTTGATGGATTTGAGGAGGCGAAGAAATTAAAACCCTAATCTGTTTGTGGTAAACCTAGATCTAACGGTTTGTGTTGTCAAACCCTTTTTGACGAAATAGATGTTGCCACGTTTATTTGGTTTTTGTTTTTTTGTAATTAGAGGGGTTTTTTTATAACACAAACTGGCTGGCCACACTGTATGACCAGTCATTATAGAGGTTACTTCGTTAATGCTATAGGAGTTAGTTGCTCAGTGTTATAGGGGTGGTTACTTTGTCAGTATTAAAGGGTTACTCGGTCAGTATTAAAAGGGTTACTTTGCTCTTTTATAAGCGATCACACGGTATGGTCAGGCGCACACAAGACGAGCTATTTTTACAATTCTCTAAAGAAATTGATTTTGGCAAGTCGTACCTATGCAAATTCACAAACAGCGCCTATTTGGTGTAGCAGGCCACGCCTGCTGCCAACTCAGCAAAAATAACGGATTGTGATGCGCATAATGGAGTTTGACATTCACACGCAATTTCAAGTAAACCCTAATTTCAAGTAACCCTTAATTTCAATTAACCCCTAATTTCAAGTAATCCATATTATAAGTCTCATAATTTCAAGTAACCTCTAAATTTAAGTAACCCATAATTTCAAGTAACCCATATTATAAGTAACCCCTAATTTCAAGTAACCAATACTATCAGTTACCCCTCAACAGTTAACCCATATTATAAGTAATCCCTAATTTCAAGTAACCCCTAATTTCAAGTAACCCATTTACAGATAATTTAGAATATAAAACAAAATTACATAAAAGCAAAACCGATTCAAAACTTAGGTCAAAATTCACAAAACAAATACAAAAAAAAACTAAAAATTAAACAAATACAAAAGAAACTAAAAATTAAACAAATACAAAAGAAATTCGAAACTTCTTCAACCTTAACACTTGCAAAAACAAAATTAAACCTGATGAAAATGTTAATTCTTAAGGTTTATGGCAATGACATCAAGAATAATTCAAAGCGGAAAAAATGACTGCATGAGCAAATAGTGTACTCGAAGTCCCTGAATCCCTGATAAAATCAAGTAGATATTTGAAGAAGACTTGGGCGCGGGACCGTGGACATAGTTGTTGCTGCTGTTGTCTTAGCTCTTTTATTAGTGCGTGGATGGAAAACTTAAGCATAGCTAGTTAAATATCACCATTTTCAACAATTGCAAGAACAACGTAGAGAATTAGAGAATTTATGATCTTCAATTTCACCATTTTCAACAATTGCAAGAACAATGTAGAGAATTTAGAGGAAAAAGAATAAAAGAAAATTGCAGGAGAAGATAGAATTAAAGCAAATTGCAAGAGGAAAAAGAACAAAGAGAGAGGAAATTAAAGAAAACTATAGCAAAAATTAAATGGAAGTGACTAGCCTCTGAACGAAATAATGACGGTTTGAAGAAAAGAAGAAAGAAAGTGGGAAGTTCAACTAAAACGGTTGAAATTCTAAAAATAACAAGATATCTAACTGGGTCTGTTATATTTTATTTGGGGTCCGTAATTTATTGGGCCTTACATTGTAGCTGGCCACTGGCCAACCACATACAAAAAATTGTTATTCATAAATATGTGCTCAATTACCGTATTAGACGATTCACCAAAAACTTTGTAACCAATTAATAATCAAATATGGTTACCTTAACGGAAGAGAGGTTATCACAATGTTTAAATGGGATTACTTTAACAAGTGGGGTTATTTCTTTACGGGTAATGGTTAAAACAAAAGCAAAGAGGTTACTCGAATGTATAATGGGGTTACTTTTTTACATTAAATGATACACAGCTAAATTGGGGTTACTCTTATAGGCATAAGAAGGTTACTATGATACATGGTCTTTTCAATATTTCTCTGTAGTGTTTTGGGTATCGGTTAGAGTGTTGCCTAAATCAAATTCATCAAAACATATCTTGAATAAATAAATGTCATGTATAATGTATATGTTACGAGTAGCCTTTTAAAAAGTATTGTCCTAAACTTGTCAAAATATAAATTTATAATTACTATTCCAAAACATATAATTTTGTCAGGAACTACCCCATAAATGGCCTATTTTGTAAAAACTACTCGAAATTTTTTTATTTGTAAACAACTACCCCTGAGATGTAAAAATTGTGTCTAGCACTACCCTTAACAGTTCCCGTCCAATTTTCCATATGTGGGACCCAAAGTTACGTTTTTTCACCCAATTAACTCATTTCTAGCCTATCTAATTTAACACTTGTAATGTTGTACTTTTCCCCCAATCACAACCTAAAACCCAAGAACAATAAATTTGACCAATTAAAGACAATTACTCAACAAATCAGGCAATTTTTTAAGTTATTATTGTAATTTTTAGGCAATGTAATTGGTTTAGGGGTTTTAATTTACTTCAATTATCATAATTAGGGATTCAATTTAGGGTTTTTGGTTTCAATTGAATGAGGGGATTTGAATAAATTGGGTTTGGGGTTAGTTTGAATTAAATTAGGGGTTTTACATTTTTTGGGTTTAGGGTTTATGTCTTCAATTGAATGAAAATACCACAAATTTCATAACAATTACTACATTATTGTACCTCCATGGTCCTTGTTTTCCCTTACTAATTTGAGTCACTGACACGGACTTACCTAGCAAAGCAAGAAGATGAGTAGGAAAGAGATAAAATCTAAGAAGAAAAGGGTGTTTGACCCTTTAATTTACAGAATTAGCAAGAATTTTGGAGCAATAAGATTTGATTAATTAGGTTAATCTAAAGAGAGTGAAAGGTGAAAGGATAATGGAGGGAAATTTATGAAGGAAAAGGGAGGTAGCTAAAAAGGGAGATAATTGGGTGGGGAAACGTAACTGTGGGCCCGAACAAACGGAAAATTGAATGGAAACTGTTAAAGGGTAGTGCAAGACAAAGTTTTTATATTTTCGGGGTAGTTGTTTGCAAATAAAAAATTTCGGGTAGTTGTTCACAAAATAGACCATTTATGGGGTAGTTCCTCATAAAATTTCCCGACTTTTATTGTATTTTATATTTCCATCAATTGTTTTTGCTGAACATTAAAAGATGGTTGGTAGGCGTGTCGCGTACCTATCAAAAATAACTTAACAGACCAATACTAATGTAGACTGGCAAGTAAGGGACGGATCCCACGAGACTAAGGTTCAAAAATAATGAAATAGACTCGAATTTCTACTAAGCAAGAATCAATTATAATCAATTATCTAAGGAACTAAGTATGAGAAGAATTCGAAAATAAACTAAATGAGATGATTAAATCAAGTACTTAAAACATCCAAGATCTAGTTTCACCACAATTATTATCAATGCAATTGTCATTCTACCCTTAACATACGATTTCAATCGAACGGGGAAAAGTAAACCCTAATAAATACCAAGGATCTCTCTCGAGTATCAATGGCTTCCCTAACATACAATCAATCCTATTCTCATGGTATCATGCATATTAAAGACATTAAACACATTACTCTAACTTCCCAATTATCAAACATAACTACTCTCGTGATATGAATCAAACCCTAAATTAATTTACTCAAATCCGTTTATACCCAACTCTCGCTGTGATAAAAACAATGGAATAATCGCAATACTATAGTTACGTCTAACCTAGCATTGGCATAATCACAATCAATTTAGCAATTAAATTGTTAAAGTTATTAAAGAATTTAAAGATTTAATTCATGCATCAATAATAATAGGGCTACACTAGACCTTGAATTAAAGAATCTACTCACACATGATTAAAGAAACAAAAACAATAATAAATAATGAAAACATATTTAAATAACAAAGGATGAAAAATAAATACCAAATCTTGAATAAAATTGAAAGTAGAAAGCTTGAATCTTGAATCTTGAATTACAAAAAAACTTGGAAAATAATAATGGAGAACTAGTTCTTAAGGAGAGAATAAAAATAAAAACAAGACTTAATTAATTAATGAATCGTCCTAAAAACAAGGCTAAAAGGTATATAAAAAAACCTAAAAAGATAAGATTTAACTCCTAAGTTTGGCGCACTGAAATTCCAAGAGGCACGGACGTGCCTCTCTAAAAATAAAAACGCTACTGGGTCTGTCTTCCAGGCACGGACGTGCCTGCTTGCTCTTCTAGGCACGGACGTGCTGGATGTTTAAACATGGGCATGCTTGCTTCTTTACTTGGGCACGGACGTGCCCCTTTGCTAGGCACGGACGTGCCTAGGGTCTTTAGTAAGGCGTTGTTGTATACTCAGAGGCACGGACGTGCCTCATAGTAGGCACGACCGTGCCTACTTCTAAAGGGCCTTTTCTTCAATTCTTCAACTTCATGGGCCTTGGCTTACTTCATGAATCCATAACTCATCCAAATTAGTTCCATTATTCCTGAAATTCATCAAAAACAACACAACTACCCATAAAAGCATCGAATTATCCAAACTAAAGCAAAATACGCCAAAACTGACTCAAATACTCAACTAAACTAACAAAACTAACTAAAAATAAGCCAAATAATATACACAAAACACGACTGAGTCGGCAAATAGGGTCCAGGAAAAGAGTCGGCAGATAAGTCTCATGGCTGGGTGGATGATGCATGAGGTCTTAGAGTGGCTAGGGTCGTAGTCATCTAGCCCAGTCAAATCCCTCCATGTGTTAAGGTCATTGTAGCCAGTCAACCTACTGTAGTTTGGTCTACCTATTTGGCCAAAGGTGGGGAAGCCTAGCAAGACATTAACTTCCCTCACTGTAAGGGTGTGACGTTCACTAAGACAATTGAATGAAACGTCTCTAGGGGTGTGGCCGTCGGGTCTACGACGGACTTCTAAGGTAGATATAAACTCGTATGTAATGTTGGAGTAGGTGTTGGCATGTTTGGCTAAGAAACCACCACTACTAGAAACACAGTCAATCAACGACGGAAAAAATACGTCGGAAAACCCTGAAATTCCGTCGGAAAGCATTGTCGGAAGACCCTTTGTAGGTGTTTTGCGATATTCCGACGGAATATTCCGT